GGTTGCCTGACCCTGGTCTAAGGCAATCATCTCACTCTGCATGATGATAACGACAACCATGCCTGTAGTCAGTATTCTGGATAGTTCATTCTCTCAGTCCAACAGTACTGGAAGTTTACTTAGCAATTCCACAGAAGGAAGAGTAAATTGGAGCTTACTCATATGTTACTCTTCACATAAAAAGGTAAAGGTATTCCCTGTTGACAAGGTTGTCAAGTCATATCTGACCATAGGGGGCAGTGCTCATCTCTGTTACTAAGCCAAAGAGCAAGCATTGTCAGAGACTACTCTGTGATCATATGGCCAGCATGATTGCACAGAATGCTGTTTACCTTCCCACCAAAGTGGTACCCATTTATCTACTTGCATTTGCATGCTTTCAAACTGCTAGGTTGGCAGAAGCTTGAACTCATGACAGGAGCTCACCCCATCATGCAGCACCCAAGCCTTGAACTTCCAACCTGCAGAATCTTGCAATCAACAGAGTCAGTGTCTTAACCACTTGAGCCACTGCATCCCCTATATCCTTCACATACTTACACAAAAATTTATTTACCCCTTTATGCTGCATTGTGGCTTGTCGAGGAGGGAAATGGAAGAGCAGCTACTGTTGGTCCATTCCAGAGCCCAATATGTCTCATCCAAGGGCCCGGGCCAGAAGAATCTCAAAGTACTGAAGGAATTTGCTGATGTACTCTCTGAACTACTTCTCATCATTTTTTAGGAATCTTGGACAACAAGTGAGGTGCCAGACAACTGGAGTAGGGCAAACATTATCCCTTTCTTCAAAAGGGACAAAAAAATCAGGAAGCTCTAGTCAATAGAGCCCATAGTGAGGGATGATGGGAGTTGCATTCTGACATGTGCGGAGCTGCATGGCTTGCCATCTCTGTTCCATGATAATACCCAACTTGGTGTGTTTAGATAACAGTTTCATGAGCATTTTCTGTGTACCAGAACAGTTTAGTCCTTTAAGGATAACTCCTTCTGTTCATACATGTGAGTGTGCACAAACACACACACTTCATAAAATATCCTCAGTACACTGCCTTGTCATTCACTTATGTACCCTGTAGACATCACATTCCAGTTTATTAGCACAACAGGTAGAAGCCAGTAACAGCATTGTAAAGCTGCTACATGCCAAATTATTCCTGGTGAAAGAAGAATGATTTGTTGTGCATTCCTTATAGTGAATTTGTAAAATATAGTGAAATTATAGTGAATTTGTTGTGCCATTCCTTGAAGTGAATCCTGAGGTGAAGATGTAGACATAGGTTTCAGTCTTGTCCAGAAAGGTATATGTCCAGAAAGGTATATGTAGAGCTTGGAAAAACTACTGTGGGGAGGAAATTACATTTGGTTCCCATAAGTTCTGACATTTCCTAGTGAGCATGGGGGGTTGTAGTCCTAAAAAAACACAAAAAAACTTTTTGTTCAAGATATGGGAATAAGTAATGCACGCAGGCAAATGCAACACTGAATTTTAATCTGAACTGTTCAAACAACTCATTTGTCATAAGGCTACCAGAGCCTGTCAAGGGCATCATTACCAGAGCTCTAGTTCAAGGGCATCACTACGGATGTGTGGGGATGTGGGACATACCAGTTGACACCTCAGAGGGGATGTCACCCATGCACTGGTGAGAAGGTGCTGCCTGCCAGTGTGGAATGTACTGCAGCACCTCCCTGCAGGTAGACCTGGATTCCTGGAAGCAGAAGATCCTGGGAAGGAGATGATCCACCCATCGGGAGACTATTGGAATACCAGAGTGAATTCCTGGAGGCCAAATGGCACCTGGACTCTTTATATGACTTGCAAACAAGGCGAGTAGACCAGAACAGCCTGGGACATGGGCAGTCCCTTGAGATGCCTCAGTCCACCAGCCATTAGCAAAAAATAGACCAGATCCTTTCTTTTCCACAGTGGCTTGATCTACTCTTGAGGGACCAATGGCCTGGAAGCTCCGAGCCTGGAGGTGACAGCATGAGTTACTAAACTGGGATGAGACCAACCCTAATGACACCACTGCTCTGGTTAGTACTTGGATGGGAGACCACCAATGAACACCAAGTGCTATAGGCTTATTTTAGAGGAAGGAAATGGTGAAACCACTTCTAAGTACTCCTTGCCTAACAAAAACCCTGTGAAATTCATGGGGTCACCATAAGTCAACAGGCAACTTGGCATATATACCCAGAATCTCTTACTGATCCCACTCCAAATCAGTTTTTCAAATAGCAGGGGTGAGTATCAGTGCATGCACTGGCTCAGCTATGGCCCCCTGTCTGTTGCACCCTTGATCTGTAGCTGGAGCCCTTACCCACAATTCTGGGTGTTCCAAAAGCAATGCTCCAAAGCATATGGGGATGGGCAGCTATAATAAAACATTT